TCAATTCCCCTGTTATTTGTGGCATTGACTATTGGAAGTTGGTAGTAAAATGTTTAAACGCTGATTTCCGCAGCTTTGAAATGTTTACACACAAATTCCCTTATAACTTTTTAACTTTAAAATATATATATATACGAAAGTTAAAACATAAACAACACCTTATTTTTAAACTTGTCTGGTATCATTTTAAAATAGTACAATTCTAAGTATATTTAAAATTATTTTTTACCAGTAATTCTTTAGTATCCTATATTTTGGAGATCTATAATTTTAGAAGTTATAAATATATCAATCTGGCTTTCCCGAAAAATAGGTACGTTTAGTGCGTCTCTTCAACGTGCGTGGGTCTTCAAAATGAGATACCTGCCATTACAATTGATTGAATTATTAGTTATAAGGCATTATGTATAAACATGTTTTTGCACAAAAAATAAAATTTAAAAAACTTAAATAAGTGTGAAAAAAGTTGTTTGTTTGTTTATAAAGTGAAAACATACTTCATAAGTCTTACTTATAATATGACCACTATAAGACTTACTGCATATTTAACAAACATAACTAATAATAAATTTAATTTCCCAAATTAGACAAATGCGCGCACTTTCCAATTTTATTCAACATATTAATATTAGCGTTAATAATAACATAAGTATGATTTATGCATTTTTTGTCATATAAATTGAAGAAAACATTACAAAACCCGTAGCTAACCCTCTGGTTTTGAAATGGAGATAGCTCTTTGTATTTAGTATCTAAATTGAAGAACGGTAAAGAAGATTTAATCTAACCTCTTTGAGGATGAGTTCCGCCTGGTTAGATTGATTGTTAAAAGAGAATTTGATATTGGATTGCACAAATACACCGTAGTCGGCCTGGAGGTAAACAACTTTTCTGCTTGGGGTTTATGTTAATTAAACAACGTTTAAATAATGAAGAGAGTTCGTATGGAAACATTATCATAATGGTTCTCTTTATTCATAATGCCATATTTAATTGATCAGTGTTTTTGTTTGTAACTGATAAGTCATTTTTACATTACCATTTAAAATTTAATAACTAGCCTATACAAAATTAAACATAAACTATTATCTTGTATTTTACCGAGCACGCTGAGTCCAAATATTAACGTTTCCTGTATACCATCCAGAAAACTACTTGCAATTTGAACTCAGCAGCTAACATTTTTGCAACTTTGTATTTGTATGTGTGTGTGTTTCATTATCATTAACATGTAACTTTGTATTAGCTGACGTCATTCAGCTACTGCCTTGAACATTAGTTTCATTAGTAGACCATAAAGCTGGGTGCAAACTGATCCAGCATTTCTCCTGAGCAAAATGTTGCACAACGATTTGCTTGAAGCGTTTTGTTCCTTTGCTTCTCCAGTGTGCGGGAGGTTCAGCATGATTCAACATTTGGTTTCAAGCAAAAATAAGAAAAAATTAATAATAATTTTTACTGGTATCCTACTATAGTATATTTTTTTAACATGTGTAACGATGAAGTCAACTTAGCTATTGCTGTATGTCAGTTTTTGCTAAATGCTGGACGAAATAGAAAGAAATAATTGGGTTCACCCAATCAATCTGATGATAGACAGCTTTCCTCTCGGAAATTAAATCAGATCCAGGGAAATTTTACAATTATTGTCGAATAATTGTTATACTATTTTATTGGAAGTATTTTAAATACCGTAAGAAACTATTATTAGATAATGACGTGATGGTTATATAAATAATTATTAATAACACGTTACCTACCAGCCGTCAGACCACTTTAGATAAGACACCCTGTATAACAGAATATCTAAGCATGTCTTTGAAACGTTTACGTGGAACCTCGATAACAAGTCAACCTTGGTAACAAAATTAATTTTCAAACCACCTAGACCTTTACAATTTTATTGCAAACCTCGACAAGAAGTCAACCTTGATAACTAGTCTTATTTAATAATCCCCATGCGAGTCTTCTTATCGAAGTTCTACATACTACATTTAATAGGCATACCATCTAGCTGTCTGTTACACAAGAGATGGTAGTCATAATGCTATTTCCAGAGTTTGCGGCTGATTCAGTTGTTCCTATAAAGATTGATGGTAATGGACTTGACAGTGTGATATACCCTCGCTTGCTAGACCCTAACCTCAAACATCGTTTGTAAGCTCTCATACAAAACCTATCGAACTTAACTTTGAAAAATCTGTCAGTATATTCAAATAGTTTTAATATCTATTGCTTCAAAACTCCAATCGCTGAATAATAATATGTTCCTGTAAGAAACCCACTTTTCCATAGTCGGCTAGGTCTGAATTAGCATACACAAATATATTCAAGAGTTATACCGTCCACAGCCAGACATAGATCCTAGATGCAGATGCAAAAGAAAATTATAATGTCATACCTTTTGGCGTTAGTTCAAGAGTTTTCTTGTATCTAACATTTTATTTCGAAAGGATGAATGATATAAATAAATCATCTTTTCCGAGATGTTTACATATATTTAGAACGCTCAGACATCAAGGATGTTGATATTAAATGCTACCTTTTTCGTATTAAGGTTATTTATGACACGAATAGTTACAAAATAAACTTAGTTTGTATATTTTACAAAAAAAGAAACAATCATATATTTGGGAATCTGCTATGTACTCCTTTCACTTAAATTGCAACTGCAAACAGCTGTTAGATTTAGTTATAGTTGGCGTGCTCACATAATACACTACATGATAAATAAATTCATTTTTTTTTAAACATCTTTCAGACAATTATATCGAATCCTGAAACATACAATTTGCCTTTTTGAGGTATAAAATTTTCTTTTTAATCCTGAATATCAATCCGAAATCAAAAGAAAACGGGATCTGGTGGAGTTTATAATGGCATTAAATGTAATAAAATATTTCAAGAAAAGTAGTTCAATGCAACAAAATTAAAAAGCATATTATGTTTTTCTTTAAGTGAACAAATTTTGAATAAGAATAGATTAGTTTAGGACTTAAGGATCAAAACGTATGTTCATTAGTTGGTTTTTTTCATTGGAAAATTAATTATACCTTTATAATTTATAAAACCTGAATGACAGGTTTCAAGCGTTTTATAATGGACACTACTTTTGATTCAATTCCATAATCACTTTAGTTTTTACGAAATAAGTTAAATAAGTAGCCCCTCTGTTTTTATCCAACAGGGATAGGTTTAATCAAGACCTGAAATAAATTAAATTAATTTGGCTTTATTCGGTAACGACTTCTATGTCACAACCCTGAAATGTATACAGGGGGGCTGAAAAGTAACTGGCACCCCCCTGACTTTTTAACCATTTGAGATGTTTTTCAAATCGGTTTGCGGCAATCTTCCTAGATATGAGGGGCTACAATAATGATGGTTAATTCCGGAAGTTTTGCCCTCAGGGTAGTATAGGTCTAGCATTAGCTCAAAATGTTCCAATGGGAGGTAAAGTACTTTGGTATCAAATTACAGGGCTTGATAAAACACAACAATTCACACAAAGAAATTAAAATTGGACCATTAAGCATTGTGAAAATGGTGTATTCTATGGGAATCTTTTGTGTTATGTGTTAAAACTGTATTTCTGTAAGTTAGATGAGGACATTTATTTAAGTTTGCACTAAAAATTCACTTTGTTCCAAGTCGTACCTATAAAACATTAGGGTACAAATGACTTTGTCAAAAGGACAGGCAGATAGCAGGAGACCTTGCCTTGATCTCTCCAATAGGCAAGCAGCAGAATGCATTATTTGTAAAACTGTTCTCTATGCCTAGTTATTAGTTCAAAGCGAATCTTTGTTATAACTTTTAAATATTGTAAACAAAAAAGTTAAATATTTAAACAAATTTATGATAATTCTTCCGTGCCTTCGTTAAAAAGACAAAATTGAAACGTGGAATGTTTTAAGCTAAATATTTGTATGTCCTAGGTAAAATACATATAGCTTATCAAGGATATATGCAAATTGGTTACTAATACATATCTAATTTATTAAACATTGTTAAATGTGGTCTTAATTTTGATTTTTTATATGAGTCCGTAGTGTTTTACCCAAACTTAATTTGTGTAGTGACATGTGGTAACCTAAATTTAATAATGTGTCCAAGACTTACTAAAATCTAAATAATCAAATTTATCTAAAGTAATGATTGGTTCAGTGGTATTATTACCTTGTTTTGTTTTATACAACAAAAATAAATTTCAGGAAAATAGGAAAAAAGTTAAAACTTGATAAAACATTGTAAAAATAGCATAAAATAGCTTTTTTAATTTTACGTCCAAACGCTTTGTTTTGAATAAAATGTGAGGATGGTAACATATTCTTCTTCAATCATACGGTAGGTTAAACGTGGTGCCGTTAAATTTTTATATGCATTTTTTTGTAAAATAACATTACTAATCAGCTATAAAGATCACTTTTAAGTGTACAGTATAGTTTTCGATAATGAGTCTCATTTAATAATCTTATTAAATAATAATTATTTAATAATAGTACAATAGCTTTTATCCTATGTATACATTTAATTATTTCAATTGACAATTGAAGTATAGTTTAATACCTTTGCTCGACAATAAAATATACAATGTTTCTTCTGGCTATTTTTTTTATATTACTAACATATGCCAAGTAACAATGAAGTCCACGGGAACCTATTTAAATATTTTGTTATGATTTAAGTTTGTATTCCGTTTATAAAAGTGCACTGCCACTAAACAATACTTGTAACAAATACACGGCTCTCGTCGCGCAGACGCGACCACGTCACTGATAAGACTATCAGTTAAAAATGAACTCTTGGCTGTTAAATGTATATTTAACTAACGATTTGTATGTGGTACTTTTGGAAACGTCAAACTACTTTTGGGATTCGGAGGCGATTCCGTAATACTATAATATCCAACCCGCCTCGTCGTATCTATGTAGGTCACCGTGTAAATATGTTAGTGTCGACTGTGTGTTGGTGTGTTGTTGTACACTGAGGCTACTCACCACGAGACGCTCTACAGTGTGTGACGTATCCTGGACTGGGACGACGCTGGTGTGAAGCTGTGACGACGGTGATGACCTAGAGAGGAGGACGACGTCGCTCACCTAGACTCGTCCACATACCACGACCTACTGACACCAGCTCTCCGCGACGCCGCGACGCGCGACGCCCAGCTCCCGTTACCTAGCAACCACCCCCCCCCCCTGCCTGCAACCCGTAGTCTCTTAGGCCTTGCTCGATACGCATCCTTATAGTCATCATTTAGAATGTTATTGAATAGGTAATGCCAGCTGTAACGCAGAGCATAGTAATTTGCAAATAATTATCGTTACTACAAAGCTATATTCCCTGTAGTTCCAAGATACAGGCATATTTAGTGACCCATAATGTATTTGTACGACATGGAATCATTGAGTATTGAAGTTCAAATTGATGTTCGCTAAATCAAATATTGAAAACAACTAACAGCATTTTTATTATAGCAGCCAGAACCCGCCTTTAAGTTAAACTTAGGCTCTAATACTTACGAGTTTTCAGATATCTTAATAAGTTTAGTGTGCATTGTTAAAACTAGTATGTTAGAAGACGAGAGGGTTTAGACTCGAGAAGACTAACTCCTAGTACGTTAGTTGTGTTCCCACATATATTTGGGAAAGACATTGATTATAGTGAGCTTATCAAGGGGCTTTTAAAAACAGTACCATGAAATTTGTTAACCAACTATTCTTTTTGTTGCGCGTTCAATGCCCTAAGGAAGTAGTCCAGGCGCTAAACGGGTTGAGTATGCACTTTAAGTCTGACAAAATTTGACTTTTGATTATTGTTGGGGACATCTAGTAGATGAAAAAAATCGATGATGTCGCATTTCTAGGGTGGTCACAACTCGGGGGGGAGGGGGGGAAGTTGCGCGGGTCATCGGTTTACGTTTCCGCGTCTAACTCACAAACGGTTAATGATAGAAAGGTGGTTTAAGCGTCTATCTACGCCTAAATATATTTTCCTTCAAAAAGGTTATTACAACCTTTCTTCTATCTCTTATACTTTAGGCGCTAATCAACATCTTTTGCAAAAAATAAAATTTTAAACTACTTTAAAATCAAATATCGGAAATATTATACGCGTTAAAGACATGTTACAGAGGATTTATGGTTAGAAAAACTAACAAATAGTACAAGAACACCAAGTTTAAGGAAATATGTGCAAAAACAACAGAGCTACGTTGATTTCAGTAAGAGTAAACGTGGAAAATTCGTAGTAGTATCGAGGCGCTCATGGACGGTACGTAGCCCAGTCAATATAGGTTTGATGTTGTAAGTAACTATGGGAAAGTTGAATTTTTCTATGCTGTTAGACCATGTTGAGTTGAGTAATTTCCCAAAAGTCCCCACTCCTACCCCTTTGTTCTTTCCTCTACCCCCCCCCCCTTTTAGATAAATTTACAGTCTCTTAGAAATTAAGCAATAACTTTAAAACGGGTAAGGATAATAACGCAGTCTTTTATTAATCATTTTGCGTTACGATATTCTACAAAAAGTGTATTTACCATGGTATCCTAAATATTCATAGTTAAAAATTTTTTTATAATAATTTTTACGGATTAATTTATGAAACTTTTCTTTGTAGATTTTTCATACGAGGTCGCACAACAAAATGTTTGATACACAATTTGGGGTGCATAGTTTACATTTTAAAATGATACATAGTTATTAACAGTTTGTTTGCATATAGTGGGTATAGATAGTACATTATATTGATTTTACAGGACTCTGACTTTTTTGTGCACCGCAATAATGAAAAAGATTACGTATATTATGGTTTTTGTATTTGAATTTGCCGCTTTATATAGATTATATTAACGTTATGTAGCTCATTCAGTACATATACAGACTACAGTGGATACATATGAATGAATATCGTGCATTTGCTGCTGTACGCCAGAGCCTCATTTTATTATACAGGGTGTCTCACCTAAAGTGAACCAATAGATAACTTTTTTATTATGATTTTATTATATTATAGATATAGAGTTAACTTCTTATGGGACACTACCCTTTATTTTTAGATGTTTTTTTAGTGGTTTCGAATTTTAAAAATATGTTCGCCATTTTCCAATATGGCTGACAACTTTGTTAGTCCGATGGAATACCCTGTATTTTATGATTGTTTTAGAATGTAAACGCACAATTTTTAAACCTTTTTATTCTTGACATTTGTCTCTAAAGCTACTTGTTTAGGAGTTACATCGAAGAAGAAATGGTTTGTGAGTACATCCTGCATCCTGTAGCTCATAAACGAGTAAGTTTAAGAGCGCAAATACAAAGAATAAACATATTTTCAAATCACATCTACATTTTAAAAAAACCATAAAATAAATTGTTCCAATATCAAAGTAAGCTACCATTTTTGAAAATGGTGGCCATTTTTAAAACAACAAAATCAGTATTTTTTAACGTATTTTATATATTTTTTTGAACGAGGACTTATATGTGACTTATTTATTCTTTGCACTTTCTCTCTCAACTTACTCGTTTATGAGCTACAGGATGCCGAATGTACACCACAAACCTTTCTTTTAGATATAACACGCTGTAACTCCTAAATGGGGTAGGTTTAGAGAAAAAATGTCACGAATAAAAAAATAGCTTTTAAATTCTAAAAGAATACTAAAATACAGCGTATTCCATAAGAAATAACAAAGTTGTTGGCCATATTGGAAAATGGTGGATATATTTGTTTTATCCGTAACCATCCCTAAAAACATTTTTTACAAATAAAGGGGGTCGTCTAATAAAAAGTTAACTCTATATGGAAAATAAAATTTATGTATGTCCACTATGTAATCTCAACCAGGATGAAACGTGTACCCTTTTATAGCAGAATGTCCAATTTAAAAAAAGATACGTCAATTTTGGTCCAACAAGTAATATTCAAATGAATATGAGTTTTTTTGAATTTTTAAATGGCAAAGATTGGCGGGCACTTGGAAATTATCTTAAAGAGGCGTGGAGGCGTTAAGGGTGGGAATTTATTTATTTATTCATTCCGACGGCAATCGCCATTTTACAAAATAATACATTAGACAAGATTTACATGCAACAAGATGATACAATAGAAAACATCAATAAATGAGTAAGAAGTTTGGTGGTGGTGGTGGACAGTTTGAGTAAAATTTCAACAGTTACAACATTGTGAAAAAAAGTAACAATAACAAGAAACAGCGTAAATAATTAACATTAATAACAATAACAAGAAACAGTTTAAATAATTAACATCAATAACAATAACAAGAAACAGTGTAAATAATTAACTACAATAACAATAAGTGTGAATAAATAATAACCATCAATAAAATCAGTAATCTTCAAAATGACAACATTGTATATAATTAACATTAATAAATTTACTATACATAACAATAATAGACTATGGCAATATATAACAATATAATAAACTGTGAAAAAGCTAACGTAACATAAAAACAAAACTATAAAACAAAAGGATGGATCTGGAGTTAGAAAAACTTTTCGATAGAATGCTGACAACAAGACACTTGGCTTTAGGGAATTGATAATGGAGCATAATTATTAAATTTAAGAATTGAGATATCAATACAAAAATGGGAAAAATCTATGTAATTTAAAAAATGTTGTTTGTTAAGTACCTATCTATCAAAGTAAATTATAAAAGTAACAGGTTTGTTTTATGAATTATTAACTGTTTGTAGGAAAAATTCAGATTCTCAGTAGGCTACATTTAAATTTTATTATTCATTCAATTGTTATCTGATCTTTATTATTATGTAGTGCTATTTGTGTATATTCTGTATTTGAAATCAGTTTATTTTATGAATAATTGTATGTGATTCATGGAATTTTTTAAACCGTTATAAAATATTTTAAAATCAGTGTGTCTAACACAAAACAGACGGTCTTTGACCATTGTTCTTTGCATTTAAATAAAAAACACTGTATTGATATTTTATTACAATGAACACATTTTCTTCTTCTTCTTCTTCAGAAATCTATAATAATTCTTTTTAAATATTTATTTATCTAATAATTCTTTTTGTAGATTATCGTAACGCAAAATGATTAATAAAAGCTTCATTATTATCCTTACCCGTTTTAAAGTTATAGCTTAATTGCTAAGAGGCTGTAAATTTATCTAAAAAGGGGGGTTAGATGAAAGCACAAGGGGGGAGGAGTGTTGACTTTCGGGAAAATGATCATCTCAACATGGTCTAACAGCATAGACAAATTCAGCTTTCCCATAGTTACTTACAACATCAAACCTATATTGACTGTGGGCTACGTACCATCCATGCGCGCCTCGATACTACTACAGTACGAATTTTTTACGTTTACTCTTACTGAAATCAACGTAGCTCTGTTGTTTTTGCACAGATTTCTTTAAAATTGGTGCTGTTGTACTACTTGTTAGTTTTTCTAACCATAAATAGTTTGTAACATGCCCTAAACAAGCGCAATATTTCTGATATTTCATTTTAAAGTATTTTTAAATCTTATTTTTTGCAATAAATGTTGATTAGCGCCTAAAGTATAAGAGATAGAAGAAAGGTTGTAATAACCTTTTTGAAGGACAATATATTTAGGCGTAGATAGACGCTTAAACCACCTTTCTATCATTAACCGTTTGTGAGTTAGACGCGGAAACGTAAACCGATTACCCGCGCAACTTCCCCCCCTCCCCCCCGAGTTGTGACCACCCTAGAAATGCGACATCATCGATTTTTTTCATCTACTAGATGTCCCCAACAATAATCAAAAGTCAAATTTTGTCAGACTTAAAGTGCATACTCAACCCGTTTAGCGCCTGGACTAAAGGTTCATCTCACTTTTGCACAGGTTTGTTATCCTCGAAATAATTGTCAATGTATAGTGTAGTTTGATTAAGAATTAAATATTTTCAAAGCCTTCCCTTTCTTGTTATAATTTAACCTTCCGATTAATTGCTAAAACAGAAAGGTTATTATTTCAAAGGAAAGGCTCTGTAACCAAATCAGACGATGCTGTAAAGTATGATATGAAAAACGTTTATGGATATTTAATTATAGCCTTGGAAGGGGTTTCTACCAAACTCCATAATTGATAATATCT